AGCCACCCCTGTACCCCCTGTACCCCAAGCCCCACTGTACTAAGAGGACATCAGACAACCATCCCAAGACCCCTGTAGCGCTCACGAATGGCAGCTTGCACGACACGGAAGACAAGCCCCTTGTGCCAGGAGTCGGGGGGCGTTCCAATGAGAACAGCTTGATTTACCCATCCCGTGGGTGACAGTCAAGGTCGTGGGAAGACTGCGACTGGAGGCAAAAGTGGGGAACGCAGGCGTGCCAGATGATGGGCTGCAAATTGCGGTGACTTTGGGGAGCGTGCGTGGGCAGTTTTTTTCACGAAAGAAGCATGTCTTCGGAGTAAGCAGCCCGTGCCGAGGAATCCTCTTCGCAGGCATGAGGACAGTGGCATGTCCGCAGAGACGCAGGTCTAAACGGCAGCTTTCCTAACGCGTGGTAGAGACAGACACACGTGTGTGTGTGTCTGCATGCAGCTGACTTACGGTGCTGGCTAAGAATACTCAGCATGCCACGGACTGCCGAGAGAACCACAAGTACAGCCGGCATGCTGCTTAGAGGCAGGGAGGGCCGGACTTCATCTCACGGACTTTGGGCGTGTTGCCAGGAGAGACCAGTCCCAGGAGAAGGACATCGTGCTTGCTCAAGTAGCGGGGGCAGCAAAGAGGGAGGCCCTCAACAAGATGGGTGGACGCAGGGGCTGCCAGGGGCTCCAACACGGGAACCATGGTGAGGCTGGCGCAGGGCCGGGCGGTGTTTCCTTCTGTGGTACATCGGGTGGCCACATATCGGAACAGACTGGATGGTACCTCACAAGAGCACGTGTGGATTGCAGCGTGGTTTGTGGCAGTAAAACCCGCCACGCAGCGAAAATGGTTTCAACAGGACCAGAGCGAACGTTCACAGCGGGAGTGTGTTCACACTAACCCAAAGCGGGGGCGAGCCCGACGCCTTCAACAGAGGGATTCACACCAGGTGGTCTAGCCAAACAACGGACTATTGTTCAACCATCAAGCCCAAGACGAACCGGTTCACAGGAAGCCACCTCGATGACAGGCAGGTGCTTCAGTACACCTGGATGCATCCACAGAGTGAACTCTCCCAGCAGCTATAGTTCACATCGGCTTTCCCCATCATGCTATCAGCACCCTCCTTAGAATGAGTGTTTATTAAATTTCCAAAATAAACATATCCTTAAGGTGCAAAGGGATAGCCACGCTGGCCTCCCCAGGTGCAGTGCCAACTCTGCGCTGTCGGGTTCGGGTGGCTTTGCGTTCTGCCGTGTCTCACAAAGGGCAGGCATCTGTCCTTTCAGGTCACCGGGGCACAGGAAATGCTGCTGAGCGAACGACAAGGCCGTTTTGCTTTCCCTGGGCCACTTTCTCAGACCCGAAGCCGACGATCGTCTGTGCTCTTAGAAACAAAGCTCTTCTCCTAGTCTGGTAGCCTGCCTTCGCAGTTTCTTGGTCATTATCCCTTTGATGGCCTCATCTAGCTCCGTCCCGGCCACCGGCGCCCAGTGCGCCAGGTGAGTGCGAACGCTTCCTCTTATTGTCTTCCAGGTGCCCTCTTCTCCCCTGAGCCTCCGACACCTTCCATGAAAATGCTGCAGCAGGTAAGTAGACCGTTTCCCAGAGGGGAGTGGAAGAAGCACGAGCCAAGTTTCCGCCAGGGCACCCGTCCAACCAGGAGGACCACAGGCTTTCCTGGCCACCTCTGCTGGGAAGGGCACATCCAGGCGACACTGCCCAGAAAACAGTGCGGGCCACTGGCTGAGCTGACCAGCATCCACATCTCACCCCATGGCAGGATGGCAGGATTCAGATTCTGCCATTAGTTTCCAATTACCCAGAGCATTCTAAGCACTAAACTCGGGCACCTTGCTTAACCTTTTTAACAAACCTGGAAGTAAGGTGGCCTAACCCCACCCCCACCCCCATCATTGCTGCCATCCACACCATCATTTCACCAACACCACCATCTCCCTCATTATTCCCATTTCACAGACAAGAAGTAGAAAGCTCAAACAGTTACATGGCTTCCCCAAGGCCACACAACCAGTAAGTTGTAAGAGCAAGATCTGCACTCAGATCGTCCACTCAGGGGCTCTGGTCTCCCCACCAATCAACTGCATCCATTCCTCCGGGTGCCTGGAGGGTGTTTCTTCCCCTTGCTTCGGTTCTTTACTGGGTTCAAGTTCAAGGCTTACCTGCAGGCTGGGTGTTCTTCTGTTCCTTGAAGGACATTGTTGAAGCCCCGAGTTCTCAAGACATCGTCTAAGTAAACGTCCCTGCCCAGTAGCCCAGCAATTCCCATCTTAGGCACAAACCGAAAAAAACCAAACAACAAAAAAGGTTCAGACAGAAGCAAAAGTGATAGTTCCTAACAGCAGTATTCAGACTAAGGCTATTCAGATTGAGCAAAAGGGGTGGGTGACAGATGGCTGCACACAGCGTGGTCAGCCACAAAATACCACGGAACACTGATCCATGCACCAACAAGCCACCCGACAGTCACAAAATACCACGGAATGCGGATCCACGCTCCAACATGCAGCCTGACAGCCATTCTTCCAGGTAAAGGAAGCAGAGCCCAAAGGCCTCCTATTCCATGGTCCCATGTCCATAAAACACCTGGAAGAGGCACATCCATAGAGATGGGAAGCAGGTGGGTGGTTACCATTGTCTGGGGGTGAGTGGTGGGGTGTGGGCATGGAGTTTCCTCTTGGGATGATGAGAATGTTCTAGAACTAGATCTTGGGTGTGGTTTCACACGTTGTGAATGTACCAAAAGCCACTGGACCACCCACGTTCAAGTGATTAAAGCGGTGGGTTGGATGTGATATGCATTTGCGCACACACGCATCCCTCCTCCAGATCTCCTCACGCGTGAGGACAGGTGCTTAAGTAACAGCCTCTGGCAGCATCCGCCCATCGCCCATCTCTGCTGTGGCCTCTTCAGAGTCACCTGGGAAGAAGCCACCGCCGCCCCCCCACCCCGCCCAGACCCCCAGATTCAAAGGACGTTGTAACTCGAACGCCCCAGTCTACAGGAGCAGTCCACCGCCTTGCGAGGGTGGCCCGTGAGGACAACTGGTTGTGTCTGAAAAGGAACCCACATCTCGACGTTTGGTCCTTGTCTTCTCCTCGACGAGCCGGGGAATCTGGCATTTCTACGAGGTTACCCAAAGATGTCTCTCACTCTGTTCCCCAAACAGAAATCTCGGCTGGAGCGCCAGATCGTCGGCTCAACCAACCGGTGGCGCTTCTCCAAAGAGCCCTTCACGGGGGATCTGCTCGCACTATCCCAGCTGTGCAAGGCTCGGAGCGTAGACTTTAACGAGGTGCTGAAGAACCCCGACAGGTAGGGAGAGTGCGCCGGCGCTGCTTATCGGGGCAAAACCTCATTGCTGGGAAGGTGCCCAGTAGCCAGGCCACTCTGACAGAGGTCAGAGAAGGTCCCCACTGACTCCTTCCTAAGGGTGGCCGGGTCGTCTACTTCCTCTGACAATGTTTCTGGTGGAGATTAAAGGGTAGGGAGAAAACGGCATTCTGCTCTCGCCCCAGCCCTTCCTGGGCAGCAGGGCTCTGTGATCCGTGCACCATCCTGGACGGGCTGCTTTGTTCACAAACTGGACTGAGGTGTCCATCTCCTGTCGGACTATTTGGGGTTCTCGTCAACCTTGTTGCCAGCAAGTTGATTCCAACTCGTGGTGAGAAGACCCCATGTGGGTTAGAGTGGATTTGATGTGATGTTTCCAGATTAGATCACCAGGACTTTCTTCCGAGGCACTGCTGGGTGGACTTGAACCTCTGCCCTTTCGGCAAATCACTCACATCACCCAGGGACCCAGGACACTTCGTATGGATGCCCATCTCCACCCAGTCCATTGGCTTCCTGTTTGCATGGCAGAAACGGGTCCTTGTGTTAGTCCAGGTAGACTAGAGAAACAAATTCTAGAAGCTCATACATGTATAAGAAAGAGCTTTATATACAAGAGCAATTGAGTATTGAGAAAACATCCCAGCCCAGTGCAGATCAAGTCCCCAAGTCCGATATTAGCCCATATGTCCAATACCAATCTACAAAGTCCTCTTCAGACTCACAAAACACATGCAATGACACCAAATGCAGGGATATCACAGGCCAATAGGTGGAAGGTCTTGTGGATCCAGTGGCAGTGTAAGCATCTCAGCACTGGTGTGGGTCTCTATGTGGCTCCTCCAGCTCCAGGGCTCTGGCTCTATCAGTGTAGCTCCTTCAGGCTTTTTGTCAGGAATGTCTCACAGGGAGTCAGCATGTGTCCCGCCTCCAGTGATCTATTTATCTCCTTAGCGCCTCCAAATGAGGTCATCAAGCTGCGATCTGATTAACAGGCTGTACTCCACCCCTTCACTCTTAAGTCTCAAACTGACAACTGACTATGTAACTACCACACCCCTCAACCCAAGGTATTCTGGGCATCATGCATCCTTATATGGAGCTCTCTCTTGCCTTCCCTGGAGACACAGAGCCAGATGCCACTGCTGACGAGTGCCTGGGACCTGGCACAATGCCCCTGTCCTCCCTGGGCTGGCAGCACCTGCCTCGAGAACTGGCAGAGCACGGGTCATCTTCCAGGGCAGTGACTGCCCCGGGAGAGCTGCTTGGATGATGGTTGCTGAGCAAATAACCAAATTATTCTCTCAGACCACCATTTCCAAAGTGGAAGATACCACCCTCTGGGGGCGCTGGAGGCGTCCTGGTGGCGCAGTGGTTATTTGTTGGTCTGCAATCTGTAAGGTTGGCAGTTCGAAACCACCAGCAGCTCCTCTAAAGAAAGACGAGGCTTTCTACGCCCGTAAGCAGTTAGTCTCTGCAACTCCCGGGGGCAGTTCTACCCTGTCCTATTGAGTCACTACACGTCAGCATCCACTCGGTGGAAGCGAGTTTTGTTTGTTTGTACAGGAGTGACCCAGGGGCTGCAAAGGCAGATACCTACACTGTGTCGTGTAGGATGGGCTGTGGTGTAAAAGTTTTTCATTGTGGGAGGTGAGAGGGCGCTGAATAATTTTTTTCTGAAAAGGGCGGGGGGCGGTAGACCAAATATGTTTGGGACCTTATATCCTAGCACACTGGCCAGCCCAGCCTTAGCTCTCCCTGCCCCCACACCCATTTGAATGTATCCAAATCCATCTGATCTGTGGTCCCAGGTCTCTGGCGATCCACCTTGGAAATAGTGCTAGCATTGGCACTTGACGGCACAAGGAGGCGTGACGTGCGTTTGCGTGTTGTCTGGGTCAAATCCTGAAGAAGTCTCAGGGCTCCCGCCAATTCGCTCTGTGTGGTTGCAGCAGGGCTGGGCCGGGGAGCAGCGGAGGGGGCGCAGGAGCGGGAGCTGGGCCTGCACTGGGAGGGCTGAGTTGATGGACGTGGGGTGGGGATGAAGGGCCCCAGAAGCTGGTCAGGGGGGACTCACTGGGCAAAGCTGGCGAGCAGGCTTAGGAGGGCAACCAGGGGCAGAAGGGCAGGGCCCAGACACTGGAGGACAGGGTAGCTGGTCCTTTGCCTCGGGTTTTCAAAAGCCACCTGTCGGAAGGGCGTGGCAGCCTCGCCCCTCCACTCCCCAGCTCTGGGACAAGTGGCTTGCCCTGGCTGAGTCTCAGCTGCTTCATCCAGAGGGACTTTGGAGACGGGCTCTGATGCCCATGGACAGTGCACAGGGCTGTGTCTGGCAGAGAGGACTGTCCCTTCGGAGGTGGGGCAGCAGTTTCCCTTAGGAATGCTACTGGGTGTGCTGCTGAGGTGTTCCAGCACTGTGCTCTGCCAGCCAACGCCCCCCGTTTCTCTGGGCTCCCACAGAAACCAGGCAGGGAAGCTGTTTTCCACAGAGGAGGGACACCGTGGCCCCTACCTTTTGAGATGCTTGGAAACGGAGCCCAGCGAAGACCGAGAGGAGTGGGCACCCTGAGCAGACTGCTTGCCAGGACCTGAGGCCCAGGTGGTCTAGGCTTGGCTCAGTTTAACAGTTTGTGCCTCTCATGCTCCTCCTGGGACAGTGGACTAGCCTGGCACACTTTGCACATGGGGATGGCAAAGGAGCACTAGACAAGCTCAGCTATACCAGGCTTTGCAAAACTCCGACCACATCATGTCCACGAGCACCCCATTAGCTCGGCAAGCTGTATGGTCAGCCACGTGGCCACCACTCAAGTCACGGGGCAGCCCCCCCCACCTCCTTGCTGAAAGCAACTTTGCAATTCTAAGGACAAGGAGTGGGCACTGGGAGGGCGAGGATTCGGGACCAGCGGGGCAGTCTCCTGCCATCTGGAGGAGGTGGTTGTTTGTATTTCAAAACACCGTGATGCTGTACCTGCAGAACGTGGGGTTTATTTCACGTGCGGATGCCTGAGAGGCCTAATCAAAGTCTCCTTGAATCCAGCAGGTGAAATAAAGGTTGTAGTCCTTGAATTCTGCTGAAGCTTGGGGCTCCAGGTGTGTGTCAGACAGCAGCCCCAGGTCGATGGGGGGCTTGCACCGGGCAGCATACCCCGCACTGTGGCACCATCCTCATTCACAGCCACCCTAGAGGGCAGAGTCAGACTACCCAGGCCTCCAGGAACACTGCCCATCTTCCTCCCACACTGGTCTGAACCTCCAGCCCCTTGGTTTGCAGCAGAGTGCTTCACCCCTGCACCACCAGGGCTCCCACGCAGCAGACTCCAAACCCACACCAGACTCACTGCCACCGAGTGGATGCTGACTCACAGCAACCCAGTGGTACCTGTGAGCTTCCGGACTGGAACTCTTTATGGAAGTGGAAAGCCCTGTCTCTCTCCCCCGGAGCAGCTGCTGGTTTTGACCCGCTCACCTTGTGGTGAGCAGGCCAACTCCAAACCACTGTGCCAACAGACACAGCCCCTCAAACACCGCCCCTCTCTGAGCGGCCCACCAGCAAGCTGCCCCGGCCAGGACTGCTGTCGTGGTTTCTCCTCCCACTTGGGGGCGCCATCTGCTTTCAGAAGCGCGGACCGTGTCTTCCTTTACCCCGTGTGTGGAGGTGCCGGCAGTGACTTGCAAGCAGCTTCCCCCAGGGATGTCCGAGGGCCTCTCGGTGTCCCCTGCCCTGGGTGCTGCCCAGCGGGCCAACCCTCATGGCTGTGGTGTCTGGGCGGCTGTGTCCCACCACTAAGATGCTCACAGGCAAGGACCTTTCACCCCCACCCCCCGGCCATGAACTTCTCCTGGCTGAGATTTGTGAGAGGTAGGAGGGGAGGGGGAGTGTAGGGGGAAACTCAAATTTCCTTCCAAGCCCCTTGGTCTTTCTGTGCCTTGGTTTCTTTTTCTGTAAACGGGGGTGGGGGTGGGGGCACCGTGTTACCTGGCTGCTGAGGGACTTACCTGCCAGAGTTCTTGGAAAGAGCCTAGGACAGTGTGTGGCATGTGTAAACACACGGCCAACCCATACCAGTGCATTCTCCTGCTCATCTGGACGCTGGGGAGGAAGTCCACCTGGCTCAGGCCAAGGCTGAGGGGTGGGCCACATCCCCCCAGAAGGTCAGAAGTGACCAAGTCCTCCCAACCTGAAAGGCTCTCCCGTTCGGCCTGCAACACCAGGGTCCCCTCAAGAGTGGAAGGACTTCGCGTGAAGATTGTGACCAGCTTGGGGAGAGCTGGGCGTGGAGAGGCGGACCCGTGGTGTCCCTGCGGGCACAGGCTTCCTGGTGAGAGGTCAGAAAACCCATGCCAAGCTAGCAAAAGCGTGAAGAAGAAATGTGTTAGTTCACATAATTTAAAAATCTCGTTGGGAGATGAGTTGCAGACTTGACTGGGTCCAGGGGCCAAGTGATCCCGTCTCCCACCACTGCTCGCTTCCTCTCTCCCAGAGCTCTGTGGGGGCTGGGAAGCTGTCAAAGCCTCATTTCCCCCCAGGGTTCAATCTAACCCATTGCCCTCAAGTCCACAGTGAGCCTACAGGGCAGCGTGCACCTGCCCCTCAGGGTTTCCTAAGCAATAGTAGAGCTCTTTAGCCATTGTGCACTGGGGTCGGGGAGGGGTCCTCAAACACAATGCCTTCTACTCAATTCTGGCTCGTAGCAACCCTCTAAGGCAGAATAGAGCTGCCCCCGTGGGTTTCTGAGCCTGTGGATCGTGATGGGAGTAGAAAGCCTCCCCTTTCTCCCTCGGAGCGGCTGGTGGTTTCGAACTGCTGGCTTTACAGTTAGCCTCACGCATAATTCACTACATCAACGGGCTCCTTGGTTTAAGGTCCAAAACTTTGGTTTTCGTCTGCCACCAAGTCCATTCTGACTCCCAGTGGCCGGTGAGGTCAGGTAGGACTGTCCCTGCGGGTTTCTGAGACCACGACCCTCTAGGGGAGGAGA